ATTGCTAAAGACTTCATTTGGACAACTTTAAAGGCGATTTTCTCAATATTTAGATTTTTTTGCACCCTCAGATTCCAGATTTTCGGCCAAATATTGATCCATCCTAACAAACCATACATCAATGGAAAGCTCATTTATTCAGCTTTCAGATGATGCATAAACCTCAATTTAAAAAAATTGACCCTTATGACTGGTTTTGTGCTCCAGGGTCACATATATGAATTAAAATGAATGAATCAGTATGGGAAGGAAAGAGGAAAGAGGGATGAATGTACCTGATAAGGCGAGGCAGAAGGCGACAGGAGACCCTGCTGTATGTATTTCTGAGCAGAAGGAAGAGCTTGTGCTGTTGTGACGTCAGTCTGGAGCTGCAGATCCACGGAGTTTGAGAAATCCAGTGCTGTGATGCCGCTGCGGACACAAATACAGGAACACCAGGTTAGAAACGAGTATTAATAGAAATGGCATCGTGCTTTATTCACGTACCTCAGGTAGAAATACAGCGACTCTGGCTTCAGGCCTCCGTGAACCACTCGACAGGAATGAAACTGTTTGACCAGCTCCAGCAACAGAGCGACTAGCAGAGAAACATCGTCTGCAGCACTGGGCTCGGACAGAAGATCCTACACGTGGAGAGAGTTTGTGTGAGGACACGCGGATGCGGAGGGAGGTTTAGGAGGAGTCTGAGCGAGCCGAACCTGAAGGGTGTCTCCGTGAGGAATCCTCCAGAGAGTCACGCAGCCGTTCTCAAACACATAACAGCAGATCTGGACATCAGCGTCCGGTTCATCACGAGACCGGCGAGATCTGAGCTGTGAGCTGATGAAGAAATCCCACGGCACGCCCGACCAATCCACCTTTACACCAAATACATAAAACACAAAAAATATGAAAAATAAATATATATATATATTTGGCACTCTAACTCAAGCACTTTCTATTCTATTTTAATCCTACTTTATCTATTTATCTTTTTTTATTTAAAAAAAAACTAACACTAGCTTTCTATTTTATCTATTCTATCTACTTGTTTTTCTTTTTGTTTGTGTGTGTGCGTGTGTATTTATATATATATATATATATATATATAAATACCTTGCTACGTGTACTGTGTTAGGCTAACCGAGACTTGTCATTTGCATATTCTACCAAACTTTAAAGATGATTTTCTCAATATTTAGATTTTTTTGCACCCTCAGATTCCAGATTTTCAAATAGTTGTATCTCAGCCAAATATTGTCCGATCCTAACAAACCATACATCAATGTAAAGCTTAGTATTCAGATTTCAGATGATGCATAAATCTCAATTTTGAAAAATTGACACTTATGACTGGGTTTGTGCTCCAGGGTCACATATATTAAACTGAGTGCCCATATAGCTACAATAAACTTTATTACCTGTAAATTGATGAAAATGGTTAATTTTCTGTCTCAGATGCGGCTGTTCTAATGACGGACAAAACACAGATCTCCATCATTCGCTCGTCAAAAAACCTTGTTAACTCCGTTTGAGCATGATTTCCAAAAAACGTTAAGTGCAAGTGTCTGATCATATATAAAGCTTAATATATGTACCAACTCTGATGACGCATTGTATAATTATTAGTGCTTAGTGGTGTGCCGTGGGATTTTTTTTACTTATCAAAACTGTGCCGCAGCGGAAAAAAGGTTGGGAAACACTGACTTAGACAACAAGTTACTGTAAAAACACGACTGTGATGAGTTTTCCGGATACCGAGACGCAGGTCGTCCCCGCTGGTGTCCGGCAGACGCCCGGTTTTCCGCTGGAAGTTGGAGAATGACGTCACGTCTGCCTGATGAAACAACCGGGATCTGACGTTTAAACCGCAGACGTCCTCCGATTCAGTGACTGCTGACACACACACACACACAGAAAACACACAGACACACACACACACACACAAACACACACACACACAAACACAGACAAACACACACACGCGCACAAACACACACACACACACAAAAACACACAAACAGACAGACA